CTTCTTAGCTTTCAAGTGACTGACATTACTGAGTCAGTCATACCTGTGTTTTGAATCCTGTGTACATTGTATGTTACTACCATGTACACTCTATGCATAATTCCCTTGCTTTTATTGGGCCTCCAGTCCCAGCTTTTCAGTCACTGGTCTTAGCTGCTAAAGCCAGTGCCATGCAATATCTCCTTAGTTAAAGTGCCTTTGTCATTTACATGTAAATTCACTCTCACACTGACTGTATGACCCATGTGGGTTTAGTGCTTAGTTTTGATTGTAATAATAATAATAGTAATAAAGTTGGTAGAATTACCGACAATATGTAAAGTAAAAGGACACAAGTGCAACTAATGTGACATTTATTGTGGCAACGTTTCGCTCTCCAGGAGCTTTATCAAGCCATTACAATCGCAAACTTCAGTACCTCTGCACTAACAGTCGGTGGAAGGAAATGGGACGCGAATCCCTGATAAACAACTTATCGTCACGCACCTTAACCGACTACGAGAAACAAGCACTGAGTCTGGGACTCAAATTTACCACCAACATACGCAAACCTAACTATCAACTCAATCTTGTTACCAGGAACCATAGACACAGTGACAGCAACTTCCAGAAGGGTTATATACAGGGCCTTCTCACTGCAGCTTTATGTGAACCTTCTTCTTCTAATCTTCCTAGAAGATACATCACTGCCCTTAAGGACCTCGCCAACGACCCCAACATTATCATCACCACCGCCGACAAAGGAGGTGGAGTCGTCATACTCAACACCAGTGACTACAACACTAAAATGATGGACCTTTTGAATGATCAATCTACATACGAACCTATCAGCACTCAACAGTGGGAGACGCTCACCAAAGACTTTCTATACAAAAGCAGACAAATACTCAAACGCACTAGAGAAGGGAAGAAACTTCTGTACTTGTTACCAAGCAACCCTAAACCGCACACATGTATGGTTTACCCAAGACCCATAAACACAATATTCCTCTCAGACCAATCACGTCAGGAATAGGCAGTGCTCCACACAAACTAGCCGGAGTTCTTGCCAAACATCTTTCCTGCCTTCTGGGGACCATCAGCCCCGCTCATCTTAAACACTCAGGCGACCTTCTCAACCGCATCCGTAACCTCTCCATCCGTAACAAGAAACTAAGCAGTTTGGATGTGACTTCCCTCTTCACAAAAGTACCTACCAAAAAAGCCATCGAGGTTCTAACGACGTAAAGTCAACCAGGACCTTAATCTTCCTTTACCTCCCGGAGATTTTGTTGACTTGATTGAACTCTGTGTTAACTTCAACTGTTTTTCCTTCAATAACAAGCTCTACAAACAAACCTACGGCATGGGAATGGGGTCCCCAATAAGTGCCGTCCTAGCCAACTTATACATGGAACACCTAGAGTCCGAACACTTCGCCAACATCATCCCTTCAAGCGTCACTTGGTTACGTTACGTGGACGATGTCCTCGTAATAACTCCAAAACGTTTTGATGTACGGATCTTCAGCAAGGCTCAACGCAGTTGAACCAGCGATTCAGTTTACACTAGAAGAAGAGTCCAATGACAAGCTACCTTTCCTCGACGTCCTCATCCCACAAAGTAGACAACAACCTAAGATTTCAAGTTTATCGGAAACCCACCAATAAAAATGATCTCACACACTTCTATTCCAGTCAAGATACCAAGACCAAAAGAGGCATCATCATCGGGTTTTTCCTAAGAGCATACCGAATTTGTAGTCCTGAGTTTCTTGACGAGGAATGTACTTACATTCACCAAACATTCACTGAGTTACAATTTCCTCCTTTTTTCATCAAAGACTGCAAGAAAAGAGCTCTTCAGATCATCAATTCTCCACGCATCAACACCGCTCCCAACAAAGTTATAATTCTTCCCAACAGCCAGGTTGCACTAAACGTCTCAAAAGTACTTTCACAAGCTAACACCAGAGTCGCCATCGCTTCTACCACTTCAATAAAGGATCTAACCAGGACAAAACCCAAGCACCACGAACCAGTCAATGCAGGAGTTTACACTATACCCTGTGGAGGCTGTGACAAGATCTACGTAGGTGAAACAGCAAGAAACCTCGACACCCGCCTCAATGAACACATATACGCATGTAGGAACGACAACTTAAACAACGCCTGTGTACAACACCGAAATTCCACCAATCATCTTATGAAATTCAGAGATGCCCAATTAGTGATAAAAGAAACTAATTTCCGCACACGCAAGTGCCTTGAATCAGCACTGATCGCTGTTTCGAATACAATTAAACAAAACAACGGCAGCTTCACCATCTCCGAAGTCTTAGCAAGAATCCTCCTGAAAACAGTAAACCCTGCCATCACATAGTCTCTCCTGTTATACTACACAAAGCACAGAGAGTGAACACTGAAACAACCTGCCTCATTCCAGTTTATATTTGTCCAACCTATTTTTATGTTACCCAAGTAATAGCTTTTATATCCTTTTACTCATGTACGAATTAATTGCTTTTGTCACTACCACTACTACTACTACTACTACCACTAGTGAACATCGAAATGGTACCTCACTAGTATTCACCTCACTCTGAGCCTTTATATACCCTCTGTGTCCATGTATTGTTTGTAATGGCTTGATAAAGTTCCTGGAGAGCAAAACGTTGCCACAATAAATGTCACATTAGTTGCACTTGTGTCCTTTTACTTTACAATAATAATAATAACTTTCACATTAAAGAAGTTCATTTTTTATACTTTGTTCACTTTCTGTCTACTCTAGTTCTACCCTTTACAGTCTAACATGTGTTGTGAGCACTCTTTTTTAAGAAGCATTTGAACATCCATTTATTTAAAGATTTTTTCAAGGTTGGCCAATGATGCATAAGAGTGTCTCACTGCAGTACAGTATTACATTAATATGATGATCTGATAACAATCTTTTGTCAGTGATGATTTCTATGCTGCTACCTCTGATTGATTCTTTATTACACAATCTCTTTTCTTTCTGTATGGACTGCTTTCACTTCCATTTTTTTATAGGTTACTTATTCACATTGAATTCTTTACACCATCTAATGCTTCACTTGTTCAACATATCTGGTTTGCCCTACAGGGATACACAATTATTTTTATTGATTATTTTGCACATGGGAAATGTGTTTGTGTATAAGTACTTCCCCCAGTGAATTCTCTGGCACTACCTCCATAACTGGTCATTTCATAGTTTTTTAAAAGTTGTGAATGGAATCTACACTTCATGCAGGTCATTCCAAATTTCTGATCAAAACTGTGACTCATGTACATCTTAACTTATATCTGTGCCCACATGTTCCCATTTTCTGCCTTAGTCTTTCTCTGTCTACTTTATCTTGTACTATACAACATAATTCTATTCAAGCTCTTAATATGTAATGAGGTTTAATATTTTATTCAGTCATTGATCATTACCACTAGCTCAGGAACTAGCCTCAGTACAAACCTCTAGCCTTCTGGATATACTTGATCAGGTGTAGCTTCTACACATATGCTATGTGCTGTAGTTTATGACTGGCCTCACATACCAATATATAATGTATAGGATCATGAATGGCTGTGCTGGGGGAGAAATATTATTGGTTACATTGTGTGTGGGTTTGTGACTGTGTGTGTGTGTTTTAATGCTTGTGTATATGTGTTTATTTAGTCAGAAAAAAATTGATAACAAGAAAGATTAAATATATTTTAATATTTATCAATAGCATTTTCCTCATTTAAACTTTTTCACCATTTTAATTTTAATTGTCATAATGTTAAAAGTGACTTGCAACTGTAATGGTTAATGTTAAAAGTGACCTGCAGCTGTGACGGTTAATGTTAAAAGTGACCTGCAGCTGTGACGGTTAATGTTAAAAGTGACCTGCAGCTGTGATGGTTAATGTTAAAAGTGACCTGCAGCTATGATAATTAATGTTAAAAGTGACCTGCAGCTGTGATGGTTACAGTAAGATTTGTAATATTACTTGCACATGTAGTTCCTCTCAGCTCTGAAGGTAAGGATTAATACACTGATTTAGTTATTACTCTTGCATGATTATTGTTTTCTGTTTCTGAGTGACAAAACTAACCAGAAAGAATTTTTTTTATACTGTATCTAATTTTAATGTTTTATAGGAGAAACATTTAATCAGTTCCTTTCTCTTCCTTTTTAGTGTATATTAATATCCAGGAAGTTTCATAAGTAAAAACATTATAATGTCAGTTCAGTATTTCACAATTAATTTGTGTTATATTTTCATTTAAAAATGAATTATAGGCTAAAACTTGTTTTAATAAATCAAAACAGGAATTTTAGTTTGTTACAGTATATACAAAATAGTGGTGAACCACTTGATAAATATTACCTAATAGTATAAACTATAGTATTATTAAAGCATTGGATTTATATAGTTTCCATATAAAATAATATTTAGAGAAATATTTAGAAAAAAAGGTCTCATGTTTATCTGATATATTTCAGTATTAGATATAGTCAGTAATTTCTGTTCAAAGTGATACCTACAAGAATATTTTGCCATGTTTAAGAGCATATTGATGCAGTTCTATTTATCACAGAGATTTATTGATTATTATACTTTCCTCATATTCTTTTTATTTACATATACTGTGCCACCATTTAACAACCATTTTAGATGTATTTTTGTATTCACAAAGTATGTAATGTAATACATCAGATGTTTCACAGCTGCATCACTGTAATGTATCCGGCATACATAAGTATTAATTAAATATTTGGTGCATTATTGCCTTATTATAATAGCATGTATAGAAATATAATGCTACTAAAATATTTAAGAGAATACTATGTATACTCCAAGTGGAACTGCTCTTAATATGGAAAAAATATTTGTTAATGTATAATATAAATAAATTATAAATTGCAATTTCCATTAACTCAGCCACAACATAGTTTTTATGGATTACTTAGTGGGGTGTAGGAGGCTAACACGAGGGTATGTTATCACTGAGCAGAATCGCAGCTGGGTGTGGCCACAGTGAATATGAAAACATGGAATCAGATGCCCCAGATGGATCTACAGATGATGAACGATTAAACAGTGTTCGAGGAGAAAATAATGAAATAACAGCTGCAGCCCTCAGTGATAATAGAGCTGAGGGGAGAAGGGATGGTCATATGCAGAGTCAGAGTATTGGCAGATCAAACCAAAGAGCCATTGGCCATCCAACTGATGATGAAGATGATGTGAGATCCTTTGAGGAAGAGGAACGCAGAATGGCCCAGGAGCTGAATGCAGCTGATGCAGAGAGGGCAGAAAAACCTTCAATTACACCATTACCAGTAAGTTTAATTTCAAAATTCAGTAGTTAATTTAAAGAGTATATTGTACATAATTTATGCATAATATAGCCTTCAATCTATTAATTCTTAAAGGAAAGGCCTCACAAATTTGTACATACCTCTATGTTTTATTTATAAATATTTTTCATGAATTACATTTGGGTTTTATGAAATTTTTTCAGTAAAATTAGTGATTTAAGGCAGCAAGGTGAGTCAGACCTCTTGCTTATAAAAATACTGTAATTTGTATGACAGGATAACTTAGAGAAGAGACAAAATATAGAACTTTTTTCATAATGTTGGAAAGGATTTAGTTTTCTTGGTACTGTCTTCTATGTTATACAGTGGTCCTTCAATAATTGTCGGGCTCGATAGTCGTCCTTTTTGGAAATCATCGCAATATTTTCATCCAAACATTGGCTCGCAAATGGTCGGTTGGCTCGCTAATCGTCATTCGTCCTGGACGCATACTCACAGCTCTGAGCCGCCTCGGCCTCCCTCCCCAGCCAGTGTGCCATTGTTTACCAGTGAGCGACAGTCCCCTAACTTGTTCATACAAAATATTTCATAATATTCCATTCATTTTAGTGCTTGCAAGTGCTAAATAAGCTACCATGGCTCCAAAGAAAGCTCCTAGTGCCAAGCCTTTGGTAAAGAAGGTGAGAAATATGATTGAATTTAAGAAAAACATCATTGAACATTATGAAAGTGGTGTACGTGTGGCTGAACTGGCCAGGATGTATAATAAATCCCGTACAACCATATTTTCCATTGTGGCCAAGAAAAAGGAAATCAAGGAAGTTGCTGTTGCAATGGGGGTAAATATGCCGACAAAAATGAGATCACCAGTACTTGAAGATGTTGAGAAGTTATTATTGGTGTGGATAAATGAGAAATAATTGGCAGGAGATAGTCTTATGATGTTGATTATTTGTGAAAAGGCTAGGCAGTTGCATGACAATCTGGTAAAAAAATTACCTGCAATGAGTACTGATATTTGTGAATTTAAGGCCAGCAAAGTTTGGTTTGAGAGATTTAAGAACCGTAGTGGCATACATAGTGTGATAAGGCATGGTGAGGCTGCCAGTTCTGGCAAAATTGCAGCTACAAAATTTGTAAGTGAATTCAAGATGTACATGGAGGCTGAAGGACTGAAACCTGAACAAGTGTTCAAATGTGACGAAACAGACCTCTTTTGGAAGAAAATGCCAAAGAGGACCTACATTACTCAGGAGGAAAAGGGACTGCCAGGACACAAGCCTATGAAAGACAGGCTGACACTCATGTTCTGTGCTAATGCTAGTGGGGATTTCAAAGTGAAGCCATTACTAGTGTACCATTCTGAAAATCCCAGAGTGTTCAGGAAAAACAATGTTATGAAGAGTAAATTGTGTGTGTTTTGGAGATCTAATAATAAGGCATAGGTCACAAGGGAAATTTTTGTCGAGTGGCTCAATGAAGTGTTTGGCCCTAGTGTGAAGAATTACCTCCTTGAAAAGAAATTGGTTCTCAAGTGCCTGCTAGTAATGGACAATGCACCTGCTCATCCTCCAAACTTGGATGACCTAATTCTGAAGGAGTTTGGGTTCATCACAGTAAAGTTCTTGCCCCTGAATACCACTCCTCTCCTCCAACCCATGGACCAGCAGATCATTTCAAACTTTAAAAAACTGTACACCAAAGCAGTGTTTCAAAGGTGCTTTAATGTGACCTCAGACACTCACTTGACCCTAAGAGATTTTTGGAAAGAACACTTCAGTATCCTCCATTGCCTTATAGGTAAGGCTTGGGAGGGAGTGATTACCAGGACTTTGAACTCTGCTTGGAGAAAATTGTGGCCAGATTGTGTCCACAAGAGGGATTTTGAAGGGTTTGTGGCTGACCCTGATGAGCCTATGTCAGTTGTGAACTCTATTGTGGCATTGGGGAGTTCCATGGGGTTGGATGTGAGTTTGGAGGATGTGGAAGAGTTGGTGGAGGACCACAATGAAGAGTTAACCACTGAGGAGCTGCAAGAGCTTCATCTGCAACAGCAACAGATCACAGCTCAGAATCTTGCTGCAGAGGAGGAGGAAGAGAGATGGAAGAAGGTGCCTTCTTCAGAAATTAAGGAGATTTTTGAAATGTGGGGTAGGATGGAAAGATTTATGGAGAAACATCACCCTGAGAAGGATGTTGCAAGCCATATCGGCAACTTGTACAGTGACAGAGTCTTGGTCCATTTTTGGGAAGTTTTAAAGAGACTCCAGAAACAAAGCTCTCTGGACACTTTTTTTGCAAGACATGACTCCAGTGACTCTCAAGCTGGTCCTAGTGGCATTAAGAAACAGAGAAGAGAAGTAACCCCAGAAAAGGACTTGGTACCTGAGGTGTTGATAGAAGGGGATTCCCCTTCCAAACAGTAACTAATCCAATCTCTCTCCTCCTCCAGTCTTCCATACACTAAGAAGAATCTCCAATAAAGGTAAGTGTTATGCTGTTTATGTTTCATTCATCATGTCCCATTGTATTGTTTATGTACTACATCTATATTTCATGTAAAAAAATTTTTTTATTTTAATACATCTGGGTGTCAGGAATGGATTAATTGTATTTACATTATTTCTTATGGGGAAAATTGATTCGAAAATCGTCTATTTCGATAATCGTCGAACTTCCAGGAATGGATTAACGACGATAAACGAGGGACTACTGTATATACATTTCTGAGACCAGTGGCACTTATAGAAGCAGGAGACATTCATGATTTGTGTGGAGTACAGTCTTTAATCTGTGCTATCAATAATTTCCATGACTTAAGGAGTGAGAATGTATGTGGAAAATAGAGTTGTGTTTCTCAGATTTCAAAAAAAAAAAAAAAAATTAATGAAATGTTTAGAAAAATAATAGTTTTCTTAACCCTTTGAGGGTTTCGGACGTACTAGTATGTCTTACGCGCAGGGGTTTTTGACGTACTAGTACGCACAAATTCTAGCGCCGTCAAATCTCATGGGAAAAGGCTGGTAGGCCTACATGTGAGAGAATGGGTCTGTGTGGTCGGTGTGCACGGTAGAAAAAAAATTTGGGACCCAGTGGTGCATTGTGGGAATGCCATCTTAGTAAACAATATCCACCATGCCTCGCGGTAAGAAGCTCCTCACTCCTCGGCAAATTGGGACACTTTTGTTCCCCAGTGACAGTTCTAATACAGATGGAAGTGCCAGTGAAGATGAGTTTCAAGGTTTTGGTGAGGTTTTGACTGAAACTAATGACCATAATATCGGTAATAGTGAGGAAAACCCAGACGACCCTCAGCCTTCCACCTCTGGTGCTGGGCCGTTTTGTTCATGTTCAGTTGTACCAGAATCCAAGAGGAAACTTCTATTTTCCCAAATCCCAGACTCAGATGAGAGCATGGGTGATGATAGTGATAGTGAATATGAACTACAAGCTCTTCAAACTAGTTCCAGTAGTGATAGTAAAGTGCAATGTTCCCAAGTGAAGCATCAGTATATACGACGATATATGCGCTCTGGTAGTGTGCCATATGCTATTCCAAGGGGAAGGAGTACATCTCGGAGTACATCCCGTGGCTGTACAACAGGAACAGAGAGTGAAAATGACGATGATACTGTTGCAATTGGGATGGAAAATGTGCGTGGTGGTAGTGATGCCAGCGGTGAGGCACCAGCAGTGGGCCATGCTGCCACCCATGCTGCCACCCACGCCGCTGCCTCAGCTAATCTACAACAAAGGCCACCATCCCCCACCCACCCACCACACCAGCCTCCACAACCACAACCTCCACAACCACAACCACCTGTCATTGTCCAGTACCCACCAGCAGACCGCACCTGGGATTGGCAGGAAGCTGTCAATTTTATTTCAAATGCCCACCAGTTTGATGACAGCCAAAGTGGAATACAGCCATCTTGTACACTTGGGAGCAATGCTACTGAACTGGAATGTTTCGAGTTATTCTTTGACGAACCACTGATGGAAAGTATTGTCATGGAAAGCAACACATACTACGAGTACACCATGGCAAACACATTACTTTCACCAAAATCACGTCTACACCAGTGGAAGGAGACAACTGTGGCTGAGATGTATCTTTTCTTTGCCACAATAATGCTTATGCCACATGTGTATAAGCACAAAGTGAAATCATACTGGTCAACAGACAGCCTGATTGCAACCCCAGGTTTCAGTGATATAATGACAGTGAATCGATTTGTGCTAATGTTACGTATGCTTCACTTCTCAGACAAAACCAGGCCTGACAGAACTGACAGGTTATATAAGATTAGGAATGTGTTTGTGTATCTGAAAGAGAAATTCAGTATGCATTTTTATCTCTTCAGGAAGCTTGTAATTGACGAGTCTTTGATTCTGTTCAAAGGAAGACTCTCTCTCAAGCAGTACATACCAAGCAAGAGGAAACGCTTTGGTATAAAGTTGTTTGTGCTTTGTGATTGTTACAGTGGTCTGGTATTGGATATTATTGTGTACACTGGAAGTTATACATTGAAAAATACCAGGAAGTTATTGGGCATCTCAGGTGATGTGGTTAGAACAATGATAGAACCATACCTTGGTAAGGGGCATATATTATATACAGATAACTGGTACACAAGCCCCTCACTCAGTGATTTTTTGCAAGTGAACATGACAGATGTGTGTGGCACAGTGTGTGCAAATCGGAAACATATGCCCAGGTTTTGACGCTGGCACTCGTAGAGGTGAGGTGCAGGCATTTGCTGCCAATGACATCATGGCATTTCAGTGGCATGACAAACGAGATGTCACACTGTTGTCATCAGTTCACCCTAATGAAATGGCAGACAGTGGCAGGCAGCATAGAGAGAGCAACCAACCCATTCTAGAACCTGCAGCTGTGATTGATTACTCCTTCAACATGCATTCAGTGGACAAATGTGACATGCAGATTGGGTTTGCTGATTGTGTTCGCAAGAGTTATAAGTGGTACATCAAACTGTTTTTCCATCTTCTGGACATTT